GACTAGGGGATTTGTTATTCCCTTTACCCCAAATAACATTTTTAATCTCCACATCAGAAACATATTTGATTAAAGCATCAACTGCACCTCTAGGCAGTGAATAGTTAAGGTGGTCCTTGATGACATTTACGTTGTAACACTTAACATCCGGATCAACCATCCCGAGTTGTTTCTTGAAGAATCGAATGACCTCATTCGGCATATCCTCAAAAGAATCCAATTTGACCCCGTCTTGATCATAAAGGACTCAAATAGTGTTTCTCATCCTCCTGCTAGCCACCATGGAGTGAAAGAAACGGGTACCTTGGTCACCATCCTTAATCCAGTAGACTTTAGCCTTTTGTTTATAGAATAACAACTCCGCCTGCTCAAGGGTCTAAAGTTCTCTTTCTGTCGCCAATTCATCTCTAATAAAATTGCCAACAGAAACAGTACACAAATTAGAGAGTTGAATGCTTTTAAGCTCATCTCTAATAAAATATTATTAGATTATTATATTAATATTAAACACACAAAAAATATTATTCATTATTAATAATTCATTATATATTATTAAAATATAAACATAATATCTTATATTATTATAATATAATTGAGTATAATATAATAATATTAAAAAATATAATATTATATTATTATAAATATTAATTAATATATTTTAAATATTTTAATAATTAATATTTTAATAATTAATATTTTGATTAAAATTATATTAAAATATTATATTAATATTAGATACACAAAATAAAATTATTTTGAGTATTTTTTTATGTGAAAGGTTCGAAAAATGACTTATGAAAAATCAGTTCGTAAGTCATTTTTCAAAAAATGAAAAAGAAATTATGTTGACCAGGAAAATGTTTTAGATTGATCAACTAGTTTTCCTCCAACTAAACACTGGAAAATAAGAAAAACGTTTTTCGAAAAATATTTTACATCAAACAAATATACTCTAATTTAATATATATATATATATATATATTTAAAAATGAAGAAATAATTTCTAATTATTCAATAAAATGTTCAACTTTATTTTATAAATTAAAGGCATTTTTATGGGTTTTGGGCCACCTAAACATCCACTTATATAATACCTCTCAACTAATTTGTAAGGTATTTAATTATGATTATTTTATATCATAATCAAATAGTTACAAAATTTGATAATTATAAAAATTTGTGGCCACTCCAAATAGGGATAGACACGAGCCGGATTTCAATCAATTTGATCTGACTTAAAAATTATACATTTTTCATTTGATCGATCCGACCAAAAAATATATACCTTCCATCTGAATCAAATTCGATCCGATTTTTCATATAAAATTCGATTTTGGCACGACCCGAAATAAAATATTTATTAAAAAAAATTATTTATTCAATAAAAATAAGAATTTAATTAAAAAAATAATATATAGAGTGATATTATTATAATTATCCTAAACGTATTAGATAAAATTATATTTTTTATGGTCGGATCAGATATTTTTTCTCTAAATCTGAGTTTAATCAAACATAATATCTAAAAATATCTAATCCGACCTAAACTTAAAAATTTTAAAAATTCTAAGTCAAAAGACGCTTCCGTGGCCATCCCTAACTCCAACGGTTCCTTAACGTATGACCATGTTTTGAAATGAAATGGTATATTCGTTAATAACTTAGACGTTAAGGCCAAATTGCTAAACTCAACAAATTCTTCAAAACAGAATTATAGTACACAATAGTCAGTACAGACTCATCCCTCCCCGCCCAAATATGCTTTCTGGTTCTTTCATCGCCTAATATTCCTCTCTTGTTCATCCCCTTTAGAGCATCTCCAACGCTGCAATAATGTGGCACATATCTCCACTTTGGAGTGGTACAACGCTGCGCTAAACTGATCTCTACTGTGAAGATATTTGAAACTGCAGGCTACATGTAGCGTGCTACTGTAGTAATGTTAAAAAAAACTTTTTTTTTATAATTTTTAATTTTTGTTTTATGATTAAATTGTAAGATATATAAAAATATATTAAAATTAGATGAATAAACATAGTAATTTTACTCTACGAAATGCATTAATTGAACATTTGTAGAATGAATATTCTAATTTAAAGAATTAAAATAAATAATTATATAACTTATGTTTTTCATATTATTATTATTAATTGTACTTTTATTATTTATTTATATTTTCGTAATGTTATTTATAAATGTTTTATTTATGTATTATATCTCGATATTTTTTAAAAATATATATGTTTTATTTTTTATTTGTAAAATTAATATTATAATAGTTTAAATATTATGAATAAAGTAGAGTTGATGATAACGTAGATATAATATTAAACATGAATTATTATTTTATATTTAGAGTAGAGATAAACATGTTTTAGAGTACAGATGAAGACTAGAGATGGTTTAAGGGGTACTTAAAAAATATAGCCGAGAGCTTCCAGCCTCCCACTCTCTCGCCCTCCCTTTTGCTACATTTTTGTCTCGCCCCATTCTCTGTAGCAGTCAATTTCGCTCTCCTCTCACAAACGACGAACGAAGAGCTCTCAAAGGTATATTTCTCTATCTCTAAATGACAATGTTATTTGTTCCTCTCTTAAATATCTTTTGCTGGTGTTTTCTTTTCTTTTCTCTTTTCTCTTTTCTTCAGGATGTCATCTTCTTTCATATCGATGCGAGACATTATTGAAGTTACAGGGGAAGCAGGGGCGGTTCCTCTGCCTCCTCGGACTCCGTTTTCCGGAGACGGTGAGAAAGAACTAGAAGCTTTGTCGGGAAAAGAGGTGGAAGTAGCCGATTCTTTGATCCATCTTCAACAGAATGAAGAATGGATAACGCGGATCGCGGAACAGCTTTTGGAGACTATGGAGAAAGAAAGTGACAAAGCGACCGAGAAATCATCTGATTTCGTATAAGGAGTTTAAGTCTGCTTGGAATTCTCTACCTCAGCAGAGAAAGAGAGAGTTTCAAAGAAGATGAAGTTTCTGAATGTTTTGAGGAACCTTCGTTAGGTTCTTTAGAAACTGTCAACGTAAAATCAACTCATAATGGAGAGGCACCTCTTGAATTAAGAGAGGGAGAAAATCCAAATATACTGAAAGAGAAATGTCAAGACTCCATCGGAAAAGGAGAGTCATATAAATCGCAGGAAGAAAATGAATGGACTGAAAAAATAGAAAAGCTAAATAAGATGATGAGAGTGCATAGGTACGAGAAAATCGTTGATAATGCCAGCGTGGCTCATATACCCTTGAAGTCGTGTGCTAAGATAGGCACAAGCAGGGACAGACCGTATAACGGCCGTTATATTGCGGTATCGACAGCTCCCGTTACTGATATCAGCCGAAATCACGATGTAAAACGAAATCACACCCATAACAACCGATAACGACCGCAATTTAACGGGTAAAGGTCGATCGCGGCTATAACGGACCGTTTTTACCTTTAATCCCCGTTAATGGATCCTCTTTGTCTTCCTCAAGAAGAGCTTCGTCTTCCTCTTCGGCTATAGGTTTCGGTTGATTTGCAGTGGAGGATCCTGCAGAATTGTAGATAGGTTTCTGGGGTACTGCTTGCGTTGTGTTGTATCGTCACCGCTTTTGATGTTGCTGGCCAAGTGTCGATAACCCCTCGCTGACTGTTTTAATCGATCGAATGTTGCAGTGATGGTCTTCTCTTGGACAGTAGTTGCAGAGTTTTGAGGGGCCTTTTATTTGATGAGTATGGATGGTGATGCCGTTAGTTTTTCCCATTTTATGGTTTCCTTGTTTCTACTCAAAGGTTGTTGATGATAATTATTAGGGGTTCTGGGTTGTGATCCTAGATTGCGAAATCTAGTAATAGTCGAGTTCAATTGTGGTGGTTGTTCCTTGTTCAACAATAATATGATACACTATTTTCCCTCCATTTAGGTTAGGAACGTTTTTTTAACCAAATTCATATTGTTTATCCTTGTTTTGTATGTAGTGTGAATAAATCTATACAAAACGCTTTTAGAAAAACACAAATTTTTTATACGAAGGTGAACACAAATGAAATTTTAAGACAAAAATTCTTAGTTATTATTATTCTTAGTTGTCACGTTCATATTTTAAATCTTATTATTTACTCAATATTTTATATTTTTTTATTTTTTTATGAGTTAATATAATATTCTTAAGAAATTTATAAATAAATACAAAAAATAATTAATGATGGTAAAAATTGTGTTTATGTATTAATAAAAATCTATAAGTGTTACAAAATACTCTAAAAATCATTAAAAGTGATTTTCTATAATTATAATTACTATATTTTATAATAAGTTGTGTGAATTTAAAAAAAAAATTCACGTCCACGATACCTGCAGTGACCGCGATAGCATCCATTACGTCTGCGACCGAAAACGTGACCGCGACCGCAATTTAAATCCCTAAGAGTCAAAATTAAATATAAGCAGAGGCTGAAATATTAGAGTATTTAAGAAAAATATAAAGACTTATTAGATACTTAAACTCAAAATTTAGCATGTAACAAGCGACATTGGTGATTAAGAGATTGTTGTTATCCTTGAGGTCTCGAGTTCAAGCACGTATGTAAGGGTATGAGCGTCCATTATAAAATAGTTAAAAGTCTTTGTACATATATTATTTTGTATTCACCCTAAATTAAAAAAATAAAAACTCAAAAGACAACATCTAATTTGTCTAATATTTAAACTTACAATGACTTAAATTATAATTAGATCAAAAATTTGAAAGCACATACATATCATTCTTTAGTTCGATCCCTACTTGATTAAATATTTAATAATTTTTATATTTTAAAATTTTAAAATTTTAAAATTTATTTTTCCGTGAACTAAAATACTATTAAACTAAAATTATATCGAATATATAAATTTTAACAGGGACCGAGCCCCTTGGGCAGTAAGGGAGCTTCGTCCATGGGCACAAGTTTTGAGAACTTTGACCCCGAATTGAATATACTTTGCCATTAAATTGAACTACACAGAAAATACTGCAATGATGGAAGAAGCGTGGGAGACACTCCTGAAATCTTACGTATATTACAAAGGACTGCCTGTTGGAACCCTAGCGGCTATGAATCCTACAGCCGAGGCTTTGAATTACAATCAGGTATAATTTGTTTAGTTCTTTGTTATCGTTTTTGTTTCTTCAAATTCAATACCTCCCTTGTTCTGTTATAGTCCTTCGTTTGAAAATGAAACTGAATTTCTCTTAGACGGTTAGTTTACTGCATCTTTCTTTAGTAAGCTAATTAGGAGCTATTGTGTATGCTCAGATTTTTTACTTATTGCAATCTGGTCTTCCTAAATCCTTTTGCATTTTGAGACATTTTCTGTTTGTTGAATGATTTTAATGAATTCTTAATTTGATATTTATGAGAACCATTAATCTACTTCTTAGCCATATTGTTTACTAAGTCGATCTATGGTTACACTCGTTATGTTACTTGCGATGAAAGTAGGCACTTCATGATCAGCCCTACGAGTAAGTTGCAACTACAAATTTTGTGGGTAAAGGTAATGCAGGAAACTGGATTTATATTGTTGCCTTTACTATTTTTAGTTGAAACTTATTTTATCACGAGTCGTTATATTTTCCTAATCTATTTTAAAACAAACGTTGAAGGCATTTTCCCATACAAGTGAAAGTTGACACTTGTTGTAGATGCCAATACTGAGAGAACTTGGTGAATATTTTACAGTAACTAAAAAAATCAAAGACAATTTTTATTTTTGGCTAAACAGCCTAAACTACTATTCAATCGTAGTATTTAACGTTTATCAAGTTCATTCGCTGATTTTTTTACTTTAATAAATAGAACGAGTTAAAAGATGTTGAATTCCTTATCTCATAATTGCCAATTACATGGAACCAATAGCATTGGCAATTCTTATCTTGCAGGTTTTTGTGAGAGACTTTGTTCCCAGAGGCTTAGCCTGTCTAATGAGACCAGCCAGTGCTGGTGGCGATCCAGAGATAGTAAAGAACTTCGTGTTAAAGACTCTCCACCTCCAAGATTGGGAGAAAAGGATAGTCAACTTTACACTTGGAGAAGGTGTCATGCCTGCCAGTTTTAAAGTTCTTTATGATTCGCATAGGCAGAGGGAAACCTTGGTTGCAGATTTTGGTGGCAGTGCTATAGGGATGGTTGCTCCTGTTGACTCTGGGTTCTGGTGGATCATTCTGCTAAGATCATATACCAAGTGCACGCATCATTATACACTTTCAGAAATGCCTGAGGTGCAGAGAGGAATGAAGCTGATACTTAACCTTTGCCTTTCAGATGGATTTGATACTTTTCCAACTCTTCTGTGTGCAGATGGGTGTAGCATGATTGATAGGAGAATGGTAAGTTATCCTGTTATCATGAAATTATCCTTTGACTGCTCTAAAATTTTAGTATATGGTTTACCAATCTAAATAGTCAATATTATGTTGCCCTCAGAGCCTGTGATCTACCAGTGCATGATTTTATACTGGCCCTTGTCTAGTAGCAGAGAAGTCATACTCGCCACGCTATATTTTCTTTCGTTCTGAACCTCGATTAACTATGCCAGTAATTTTGCAAGGTTTTAGACAGAGGAATTATAGCTCGATTTATATTTTTTGGACTCATTTTGTGTACTGGAGTGCCTAGTGTTGCTTCAGGTGTTGGTTCGGTACTGCTATTTTGGGATTTTAATGCACTAAGATTGAGTGTAATTTTGGAATTCAAAGTGCTTGCACTTTGGGTAGGGAATTTATGGATATCCTATCGAAATCCATGCCCACTTCTATTTTGCATTAAGGTATTCAAGGCAGATGCTGAAACCAGAACGAGATGGCAAGGAATTGATCAAGCGCATTGATAAGCGCATAACAGCTATCAGTTATCACTCCGAAATTACTACTGGCTTGATTTCACACAATTAAACAACATATATGGTTACAAACAAAGACTTGCACAGTTTTGGCATTGTGGTAAGCAACAAAGACTTGCACAGTTTACGGCACGACAAAGATTAACGAATCTCAATACACAGAGTTCATAACTGTAAGGGCCAAGAACAAAACAGCAACGACCCCACGGCTCTTTCTCCCCAACCGGCTTAACATTAAACCAACGGGAAGGATCACTGCTGAGAATCCGTTAATTTAAAGAAAAAATAAGAAAAAGGATTAACTATTTGAATACTCACTTTAACTACTGGAAAGTTTTAATTTAAACATTAATCTATTATTTTATCAATCAAACCACTTAACTAAAAGATATCATTTAAGTCACATGTCATTAAAGAAATATTGATGTGATAGTTTTTTCTTCTATAAAATGTTGATGTGATAGTTAAATAAAAGCATAATATAAAAAATACCCCTAACATTTGATAACATTGTCATTTTTATCTCTATTTTTTTTTGACATTTTAATCCCAATATTTCATTTTGAGGCAAAAACTCTTTTTATAGATGAAAATTGTTAGTCAACTAATGGTCAATATCTTGAGATAACATGGCGGACTTACATGACATTATAAATCACGTGGCAGTGCCACATATATAAAATGTTGACGTGACAAGAACGAGGTGTCATCAATTTTTTAAATTAATTTTATATGTTTTTATATAATGTATTTTGTCTATTGATGAGATTAAATTCAGATATTCGTGGAAACTTGAACTTGGGACATCATACATGGAATCCCCATGCCCAACCACCACACTAACTGTTACCTTTGAGTTAAAGTATTTAGCATATACATTTTGTCTCATATTTTATCAAACATTTCTTCATCCTCTCTTCACTGGTATTTCTTCTTCGTTCATTATGAAGAACCAAATTCAGATATTCGTGGAAATCAAGCGAAGACGAAAAAACTATGATTCAAGCAAGTTTTAGAGCCGTATTTCTCGGTAGCACGAATGAGCTTGTTTCATTGATGGAAGAGAAATTCTCAGAACTTGGAATTGTGAAAGAAGATCGCTTCAAGATGAGTTGGGTTGAATCAAAACTGTACTCAACCTAATTTCCCATCGATGTACCACTGGTCCTATATTCACATTCCCCTTTTCCTCTGCTCCTAATGGGTTAACTTTCAACTCTGTTTTTGGGTTTAGGGTTTATATTTTTTGTATGGTCGCTGGTAAAAAAAATGAGGGGAGAAGAGAAAAGAAATTATCGACTTTAGTTGAGTTTTTCTTTCCTTCTAGGAGTAAATAAATTATCGAATTTAGTTAAAGTTTATTTCTAATGAGCCATTCCTCATTGCTTTTGATATCGACTTTAAAGTTTCTTTCTTAGTTGAGTTTTTGAATATTGAATTTGGATAATGAGCGATTTTAGTTGCAGGATTTAACATGAAGCGTGTGAGAGGAAGAACAAAGATAACAAAAACGACAGAACCAAAGAGGAAATTGTTTTCCCAGTTTTTCAAAGTAGTGTTGTTGGATAACGAGGATTTAAAGTTTGAACTTGAGATTTGAGAAGGATTTCGGGATCCAACAATGCATAAAATAGAAACAACGGGAAAATGCAGCAGGATAAGATGTTGGATTACAAGTTGAAGTTAACGATGAAAGGCCATGGAAAATTGCAATGACGCTGGAGGTGACGATGAGGAGATGGAAGTTGCATGTTAGAGAAAAAAGAAATACTTTAACGTAAGAATTTGAAATACTAAACGTCAAAACGCTTGAAATAAATATTTTTTTTTCATCATATAAGCATAAGAAACATGTTGACCTGGTGGTTTGGGTTTTACTTTCCATTTACCTGAATCTGTTTCGATTTCCCTTCAAGCATAAAGTTTTTCTTACTTTGTTTATATCATCACCAATTAGAGAGTGACATTGTTCCTCCTTAATTGGTTGCAATAGAAATTATTATTTTTATTTAAAAAATTAATGACATGACATATTGCCGTGTCATCACCTACTATGACGTGGATATGCCACATCATCACCTCGTTCCACATGTGTTGGTTGAGTCAACTTTAAGGGTTGATCGTTAGTTGAATAACGATTTTCATCCAATGAGAGAGTTTTTGACTCGAAATAACACATTGGGAGTAATGTGTTCTAAAAAAATAGGAGTTAAAATGACATTGTTGTCAAACGTTAGGGGTAATTTGTATTATTATGTCTTAAATAAATTTGTATAATATTTAAATGAAATATTAAATTTGACATGGTGGTTAAGCATGCATTTCCTTATCCATCATATGCAGGTTTAAATCTCTCAACCCTAATATTTTTTTAATTTTCATTAATAAGATAACCTTTAATAAAATGTATTGCTAACTTTTAACCAATGGGTAGATTTGACTAAATGGTTAGAGCTCCTAAATCTCTTTCCACACATCTTAAGTTTGATCCCTCTTTTATTAACTTCGGTAACACATATTATTATTTAATTAAATGATTAAACTAATTGAATTAAATTAAAATTATGATCAAATTAATAGAGTATATAAAAAATAAAATTCCAAATGTACAATTATATAAATTTACTTAACTGTCATGCCATTATTTTTGTTAATTATTAATAATATATTTCTTGATTGATATCCTTTAAGTAATTAAGTGACATGATTAACGAAATTGATACATAAATGGTCAAGTTAGAACCTCACCCATAATCAAGTGACTATTGGAATAGTTAGTTTATCCTAAAAAGAAAACAAGGCCAAACAAATGGTAAAAGGAGGAATCGTGTGATGCACAACACATGCCATACTTTAAATCCTTAATACAAAAATAAGTGATTGAACTTTGTCTAAAAATATGATTATGTGCTTAAAGAATATTTTGTTAAAAATCGATGTCTAAAGTTTCTAAAGGTATACATTTAGGTGTCCGTCATTAAAAATTGTAGTAAAGTGATCGTTAAATGGCACATATCAAATTCTGATAATTTTGAGAATTTATTTAAAAATAAAAAATATTTTTTGTAAAAGAAAAAAAAAGGAGCAGTGCCCCCGCATGCTCCCTCTCCCCTTACCCCCTGCAATAGGTTGTCAGTTGTCCGACAGTGACCATAACTGTTACTATCATTGGCATCGAAGTCAACCTCCGATCAAACCCTCGGTGACCTTTCGCTGTAAGCTGTAGTCGTTTTTCGTGGAGAAACGTTCGAAGTTTCATCATATTTTAAGTCACTGTCGTTATCTTTCATCGATTTTGGTCGATCCCGACATCCATATGCAATGCCGTCACCAACATTCAAACCACCATCCAATTCCGCTCAAGACTCATCCTCGGCGTCGCTCCGTCAGTGCTCCTTTGGTGTTCCACCATGATAACGGAGTTGAAATGAGATATTTTAGTTTTTTTTGAGTTTTTTTTATAATTTTATTAAAAGTTTGGGGTTATTTTGTAAATAAATTAAGTATTTTTAAAAAAAATTATTTTTATTAGAAAATAATATTTTTAATATTAAAAAAATTAAAAAATTATATATATAAAATAATATATCAGTGAACACCTGTAACTGAAAAAACTTTAAATATTAATTTTTGGTAAAAAAATTTAAACAAAATTATTTTTTAAGGTAAAATTCAGCCACTTATTATTATTATTACTATTTTATTAAGACTACGTTAAAAAGATAAAAGCAGCCAGCTAGCAAAAGGAAAGTGTGGCGCCACTTTAGAACTAACTGTCTTCCTCCTTTCTCTCTTTAACAAAGCTGATTTACCAACATTTGCGGTTTAATAATCGCATCCCAACAATTTGATCGAATAAGGCGATGGAAGACAGATGCAGCTTCATATCGTGCGACAAGCTAGATCGAATGGCTAATTGGGTCGGCACCAGCGTGGCCTCTGCATTTTTCGCATCGATGGAGCGGTGCTCCTGTATTAATCTCAGCACCACCGATTTTGATGAGGATGAGGAAGCCTATGATCGCCCCCTTGTGTTCACCAAGCCGCTTCTCCATGACGAACATGAAACCGAACCGCGATCCAAACCAACCCCTTAGACCCATTCCATCCATTTGCCCAACGTTGTTGATCACTTCGTCTTCTAGGGTTTGTTCCCTCTGTTTCGGTATTTTTTTCCTTTTCTTTTTATACGTGCCTATGATGTATTGAGTTAGTCGTTGATTCAATTCTCTTGTAGTTTGGTTTTTAATTTGATGTAAGTTTCTTCTTTTTTTAATTATCATTTGAATCGAATTTCCAAGGAATTTTTGGATTTCTTTGTAATTTAATTTGAAGATGATGCAACTTTACAATTCTCAACTCATTTGCCGATGCATCATGTTGTTGCGTGTTTTTTATCCCAATAACTTTCTTGTTCTGGGACTGTGCGAAGTGAGTTCATGTTTAATGTTAATGAAGTCCTTCTTTTTGCCTTTTCTTCTTTTAATTGGACTTGGGCTATTGGTGATTTCTCTTGTAAATTCATTAGAAAAGCAAAAAGAAAATACCAAACGCATAAATTTATATTGTTCTTTCACTAAGTTGTCAGCATGTTTTTCAAAATCTTATTCAACTAGTGAAACTAGGAGGGATGAGAGGCAGTAGTGGAAGTGTTCTTTGAGTTTTGTTTTCAGCAACTTAGCCTTGTTTTGTCAGTTTACTGTGCATGCCACAGGTGCATTTCTTTCTTCCCATGAAAGAATGTCATGTTTGCTTTAGCTAGGATCCTTGTGTCTGCCCTGGAATTCTAATGCTTTCAGTTGATATATTCTTAATTTGGATTATTCTTTATGGTAGAGTTTGTTTTTGGCTGTAGTTTTGATTATTTATAAATGATTCTCTGGGTAGGATGAAATCAAAACTGCTAGATATTTGGTTTGGATACTTGATGAAAGCTCTTTTCTATGAAATTATATAGATATTTAAAATGACCTACTTGTTTTCGAATAAAATTGTGTATCATCGTTATGCATACAACGATCATGAAAAGTATAAATACATGATATTTTATATATCCAAAAAACTCTCTATATATATACCAAAATCTGATGTTTCCTAAAACATTATTCCAATATCCTACAAAACTCATATATGTAACATAAACCCTGGATTAAATCTTTCTAAAATATTTCTCACAACATTTTGAGAGTGTTTTTCAAAAGTACTTTTGGGTCTAAAAGTGCTTCTAACAATAGAAACAATATAAAACAGATGACTTTTTAGGTTAAAAGTACTTTTCAACATAGTGCTCCTTGTATAAGTGTTTTTGGGTTGCCAAAATATCTGGTAATAGATAGACGGTAATTTCTTCATCAATGAAATACATATTAGAGTTGAGGAAGTTACAAAGGTGGGTCACAAAATTTGGTCTGATGGTGTTGTAAGTTACATGTATCATTGTATGTTTATTAAATCTTTACAATTTGGAGCCCATGGTCGTCCTTGGAATCTCCTCTACACACCATGTAACTGCATTTTTTGCAATCAAAACCACTGATTTACTACAACGGAAGAAATTCAAACGTGGAATTTCTTGATATCTGATTCCTGAGCAAACCCACCCGTGTGTTTCTCTGCAGTTGGGGCAGCTTGAAGCCGGTTTGTTTTCACTGTAGGAAGCTTATGTTTCAACTTGCAGGTCCAGTGTGAGTGCATCCGAAACCGATGAACCATTAACTATTTATGTTTTACAGAATAGAAGCTTGCCATCAGTACTGATTAGTGTTTAGTTAACATAAAATGAATCACAATTGGATTGGATTATAGCAGGAAAGCTGGCAGACTGGGACAGCTTTTCCATTTGTGTTTGCTATCATAAAGACAATGACCCAGCCAACAGAAACATGTTCTCTCCATTTGTCCATTGTTCTGCAAATTGTTTTTCCTTTATTTGAATGATGATCAAGATAATGATACTGCTGTGCTGTACGCTTGCTGATGGCTTTTGCTTGTTGCCGCTGCTACTTATTGCACTCAGACATGGAAATATAGTTGATCACTCTGTCTCAATGGTTTCTCAGTAAGCTGAAAATCCATTTTTTTTTAAATTTTTTCTTATGCTGTAGCATCAATCTTTACAGTCATAAAATATAAAGAAACAACTCTATTAAGCTAACCCTTTTGTCTCAAGCATGCATGTCATGTAGATTAAGATGTTGATAAATAAACTTACACCATGATTTTCTTTTTCTTTTCTTTTCTTTTTAAGATGGGGGATAGAAAAAGAAAAGCAAAGGTCTTTGCTACAGTTGGAATCTTTAATTAAATTAGATGGTATTAGTTAAAAGCTTAAAATTTTGGTTTCAGCCATTTTTCTTGGACACTTTAGGCCAACTGCTCCCCTTCTACCCATATTCTATATTCTATTGGGTATGACTGTAAATGAGATAAGATAAACTACAAGTTATTCAAATTTGATTTGATAAAGTTTAATCTAACATTCTATTTGAATAGAGTTGATTTGAGATCGAACTCAACTCTAGTTATTAACGAGTTGAAGTGAACTACTTGATATTCTACTTAAAAAAGTTATGAGCAACTAAAAAATAATGATATATTAAAAATTTAATTTTTAAATTAACTTATTAATAATATTATCATTTATATATTTTTTCAAATACAAAATAAGGTCTTCATGTATTTAATGTTTAGGTTTGAGCTTGAGTTAGAGTTTCAATTTTTTATTTCGAGTTTGAGTCGAGCTTGACTATTTTAAACTCAAGAGCTTTCGATTGGAGTAATACTCATCTCATTTATAGCCCCACTGTTGGGATTTAGATTTAATAAAAAATGGGTTAGGGGGACGGTTCCATAATGAACCTCTGCAATATTCGATTAAAAACAATGGATTAAAAACAATTGGTTAAAAAATCTCAAAGTTCTTGGCTTAGGTGAAAGCAAAATCTTAAACTAAGAAACAATTTTGGAAGTTCAAGCCACAGGGTGCAGCAATGCTTATGATAGTGTCAAATGGCAGATGTCTGAAAAGATCATAGCAAACAAACCCATCTTTTTCTCCCCATTGCTACCTTTGTTTCGAGTACTACAGAGCTAATATAATTGGTCTAATCGTTTGTCTTTTCTACCTTTTCGTTTCAACCGGCATCCTTCAATTTTCATACCCTTACTCGCAAAGACATGCATATCCCATTCAAACCAATATATATATAAAGAGCCAATAATTTCCATTAAAAGAAATGATAACATATTAAGAGCAGTTAAGCAAAATATGGAACTTCAACAACTATTAGAGGGAAAAAAAGATATTCGGTCGGTGTTGCTTAACTTTCATGCCTGAACGTAGCTGAAAAAATCCAGTTTGTAATAACTGGTTTTCAGTGACATCAGTTATATAATATAAGACATGCGTACTTATACGTGGAAACTAAAATAATACAAAGCAAACGTAAGGACAAAGAGAGTAGAGATGTAGCTGTTGAGTGTGTATATTTTTCTCAGTCAACGACATATTTTAACTGGGAAAACGTTGACAGATTACAAATAAAAAACAAAAGAAAAATAATTTGCTTTTCCCTGTTAAGGAAATGGCTAAAAATCCCTAGCAACACAATGGGGTCACGGTGAATAATCACGCCCCCAACACATTATTATCACGACACCACGTTAGAGCCTTGAGGTATCATGAAAGCTGACAAACATAATTCACCTACCAAAAAAAAAACTTTATTGTTTCTACTTCTAGCTTCCATGGTTAAATTCTTAAAATATTCAGTGGCTTCACTCTTTAAATTGGCCCCCTTCTCGCTTCCACTCCCTACCTTCCTGCTCTCTCCCCAGATGGCCACCTTTGCCACCTTCTGCTTTCTCTTCTGCTTGTCGATGTCGTATTATCTTCAAGCTTTCCCTGCCATGGCACATGAATGGCCTAGAGGGGGCTCGACCAGGTTCTATGATTTCAAGGTCAATCCATCAAATGCATGAACTATTCTGCTATGCCTATATAATTATCTTTATATTCTCATTTCTGTTTTTTTTTTCAATGCAAACAGGTGCAAACCTTGAGAGTTACTAAGCTGTGTAACACCAAAGAGATTGTTACCATTAACAAGATGTTCCCGGGACCTGTAGTTTACGCCGAAGAGGACGATAGAATCATCGTCAAGGTCACCAATGAGACCCCCTACAATGCCACCATTCACTGGTATTATTAATCAGAAAAAGTCCCATGGTTTACAGATTATATAACATTATTAATCATTGCGCCCTGTTGTTCTCCTAGGCATGGTGTTAGGCAAAAGCTATCATGCTGGTCCGATGGTCCATCTTACATTACCCAGTGTCCCATTCAAGCTGGCCAGACTTTCACGTACGAGTTCACGATGGTGAAGCAGAAAGGCACCTTTTTCTGGCATGCCCATGTTTCTTGGCTTAGGGCCACTGTTTATGGTGCCATTGTTGTGTATCCTAAGGCTGGGGTCCCCTACCCTTTCAAGCATCCATACGAAGAACATATTGTAATCCTAGGTATTTATACGTGTATATATGATCTCCTTCGATCCGACATGCCAAAGTACTTTAAATAATGTGATCGATTATGTTTGGTTATGATGATCAAATGTGGCAGGGGAGTACTGGCTAAAAGATGTACTGCAACTAGAGCAACAAGTTCTAGCAAGCGGAGGAGCCGCTCCACCGGCTGATGCATTTACCATTAACGGTCACGCAGGCCCTAACTACAACTGCTCCAAAAACGGTATAAACATAGTTAAAACACTATTTCTTTATTGTATTTAGTTACATCTGGTCACTTAATTTGATCATGGAGGGCAGGTGTATACAAGATCAATGTGGTTCCCGGGAAGACATATATGTTGAGGCTAATCAACGCAGCGTTAAACATGGAGAACTTCTTTACCATAGCTTATCATAAATTAACAATTGTGGAGGCCGATGCCGAGTACACCAAGTCGTTCACCACAGACCGTGTGATGCTGGTACCGGGGCAGACCATGAATGTCCTTGTCACAGCTGATCGGCCCATAGGAAAGTACTCCATGGCCATGGGACCTTACATGTCTGCCCAAAATGTTTCGTTTCAAAACATATCGGCGATTGCTTACTTCGAATACGAAGGTGCATCCCCTAACAGTTTATCATTACCGGCTAACTTACCTAGCTTTAACGATAACCTTGCTGTAAAGACTGTCATGGATGGTCTTAGAAGCCTTAATCCTGTTAATGTTCCAAAAGAGATCGATACTTGCTTGTTTGTCACCGTGGGGTTAAACGTCAACAAATGCCTGTCCAAGACACCGCAGCAGAACTGCCAAGGCACGAACACCGGGACATTTGCAGCTTCCATGAACAATATATCCTTCGTGAAGCCTACTGTATCTATTTTGGAAACTTACTATAAGAAGATCGATGGTCATTTCACCGAGGACTTCCCCGGGGCACCCCTTAAATTCTATGACTTCGTCAATGGGGCACCAAATAATGCTCCTAATGACACACAGGCCATCAATGGAACTAGGACCAAGGTCATCGAATTCGGAAGCAGGGTCCAAATTATCTTCCAGGACACCAACACAGTCACAACCGAAAACCATCCGATTCATCTCCATGGATACAGCTTCTATGTTGTCGGATATGGTACGGGGAATTTCAATCCGCAGACTGCAAACTTCAACTTGATCGATCCACCTTATATGAACACAATCGGTGTCCCCGTCGGAGGATGGGCAGTAATTAGGTTTGTCGCTGACAATCCAGGTAAGATATATTTCTTTTTACAATCAAAATTGAGATCCCTATTACTCTTTATATTTGCTGTTAAACTAAGTAGAATGTGATTTGTTTGAGCGGTATTTAGGGGTTTGGTTTATGCATTGCCACTTAGACATACACCAATCGTGGGGATTAGGCGCGGTATTGATAGTGGAGAACGGAAAGGGAGAGCTCGAGACTTTGCCTCATCCTCCTGCAGACCTGCCTCGCTGCTAGACCACCTTGCATTGGGGAAAAACAAAAACCTTGTGCATTTCTTTGATATTTCTCACCAACTATTTTCTTTGGGTGCAAGTGTGTTATATGGTCCGCTCCATTTCTTTGATTGGGATTGTCAAATTGCATTTGTAAAGATGTAAAGATTGGAGTAATAAAATCTTACATTTCTTTTCCTTTCATTTCTTTAATGGATGTAAACAAGATAAGATAGACGGTATGAAGTAAATGAGATAAAACATATCGTATGTTAGTAAATGAAATAAGACAAATTACAAGTTTAAGTTCGACTTGATCAAAAATTGAATCCTTAACATACCGAAATAAGTTGCTTGACACACAACTCAAAAAACTCATGAGGAACTTTAAAAATAATATATTAAAGTTTTAACTTATTTAAATTAAATTATTAATAATATTAACATTTGTATGTTTCTTTAAAAATAATGCAATATAAGGTTTTTATGTATCTAATGTTTAGATTCGAGTTCAAACTCGAGCTTGAACAGAGCGAGTTAGAACTTCAACCAAATTAAATTTGAAAATCTTTTAAGTTCAAATTTTTTCGAACTCGAATCTTTGATTTCAAGTTAAAATTGATCTTAATAATTTTAAGCTCGTAAACTATCAAGTCAAACTCAGTTTTAAACTTTTTAAATTAAATTCAACAATACTCAAACTCACCTCGTCTATCATTTTTTTCCGGCAATATGGGAAATCAGATTCCGGTCTCCTTTATACAAACAGGTAATCGTGTGCTGGGCTTTGGTTAATGAAGCAAATAGTAACCATATTAAAGATAGGTCAATCAAAATTTTTGTCCATCTCTAAATAATACAATGACAGATATGCTTAAATTCCCAAGACTCAAAATAATCAAATTGGATAAAGTTTTGTATTTCTTTTCAGAAAAAAAGGTGAAGTTAATATGCAAAAAATTTATTTTCTATATCCAATTCTTGCAGTTGGGTAATCAAAAATTAAACACAAAGCTTCTAGTCAATTACTACTTGAATATTATTAATACTAGTTAACTTCATCACAATGGGTTTGATGACAAGAAACCAATGTATACGGCGCTACCGGATACATTAAAAGATATTTAATAAATTCGGTTTAGCGCTACCGGAAATGTTGAGTAATAATAATGTAGTAGGTCTAAATCATGAAGAAATATTAAAGAATTTGGCAACCAGCAAACTTAGTTTGTCGGTTTATGTCGATACTTTATAAAATTGTATCGATCCACATCAATATAACAAGTGAAAATATGACAAAACCGGTCTCGAAAAGACAAAATCAGTAAAGCGGTACCAGATATATTGAAAGTGTCGATACTTTAATATAAGTATCGACACTCTGTGAATTTAAAAGAGAAGCAGTTTTAGAGCCTATAAACTGTCGATACTTTATAACAATGTATCGATCCAAACTGATATAACAGGTAAAAATATGACAAAATCGGTCTCTAAAGGACAAAACCGGTATAGAGCGACCAAATATATTGAAAGTGTCGATACTTTAATATAAGTATTGACACTTTGTGAATTTAAAAGAGAAACAGTTTTAGCGCCTATAAAGTGTCGATACTTTCTAATAATGTATCAATCCACAACGATATAACAGGTAAAAATATGACAAAACCGGTCTCTAAAAGACATAATCGGTATAGAGAGACCTGATATATTGAAAGTGTCGATACTTTAATATAAGTATCAACACTTTTTGAATTTAAAAGAGAAGCAATTTTAGCGCCCATAAAGTGTCGATACTTTATAACAATGTATCGATCCAAAATGATATAACAGGTAAAAATATGACAAAACCGATCTCTAAAGGACAAAACCGGTATAGAATGACCAGATATATTTAAAGTGTCGATACTTTAATATAGGTATCGACACTTTGTGAATTTAAAAGAGAAGTAGTTTTAGCGCCTATAAAATGTCGATACTTTATAACAATGTATCGTCCACAACGATCAGGTAAAAATATGACAAAACCAGTCTCGAAATGACAAAACCGGTAAAGCGCTACCGGATATATTGAAACTGTCGATACTTTAATAAGTACGCATAATAAATTATCTATACTTTCAAAGAAATAGGTAATTATACTATCGAAAGTATTGACACCTGACATAAAAGTATCGATATTTTTTTAGTTGTATCGATTAAATATAAATAACATATCCGGTGAAAATATAAAGGGCATAGTTAAATATCCTCTGAAAAATAGATAGAACGGACGAGTTTTTGAAATCGAAGCGTAATTGTTGCTGCATTTCAGAAGGCGTTTCTAAAGTGAAGTTTGTTTGTTTGTTGCTGCAGTCGAATCAAAAAGTACGTTATCGAAACCCTAGTTTTTTATTATTACAGTAATCAGAAATAAGGTTTTTATGTGTTGTTTGGGGTTTTGGAGTAAAGAAACATTTGAGACAGATTACAGGTAGGAAGTGATATTCAAGGTAAAATATAAATATCGATACTTTTATTAAATATTATAGGTAGAAAATGATATTATAGGTTGTATAAATGTGTCGATACTTGGAGTATTGAGTGTTCTCATTCGTTTGAAGGAAATAAGGATTAGGGTTTTTGGTTTAGTTTGGGGATTTCGAATCGAAGCCAAGAAGGATTTGGGTCCGATTATATAATATTATAGGTAGAAAATAAATATGGATACCTGTATATAATATCATAGGTAGAAAATTCTATTTTAGGTTGTATAAATGTGCCGACACATTTTATAGTGGCTATTCAAATTCTTTGAAGAAAATCGTTTTACCACAAGAGTAGTTATCTATATTTGTATATTGAATAAAGTGTATGTAACAAGTATTTGATTTGATTTGCGTAAACTGATATATGAAGGAAAAATGGATTCAATGGGTGGAAAAATTGTTGGTGGCACATATGACTTTGAAATTGAGGCCGAGACTCGAAAGCAACCAAAGGGTGGATATATGTACTTCTAGTAAGTATCAATGTCTTTTTGTTATTATTGTTGAAATGGTAATTGGATTAAAGTATTTAAGAACTTTAAATTGATTACAAATTTTAAATGTTAACAGTATGACCGAATGTCAAAGGATGAAGGAAGGTGGCGAACATATCGGTTCGGTATGTAAATTGAAATTGACATTGAGTATTATTTAGCGTTAATGTATTGATTAAGAAACGTTTATGCTTAATAGTAGGTGAGAAATGATGTGTTGGAGAACTGGAATTTGATGAGTGATGCTGATAAGGAACCTTACATCGCACAGTCAAAGATGGATAGTGAAGAATACAAAGAATGGACGAAAACACATGAAAAGAAGGTATTAATTAAACTTGTAAATACGTTGATACAAAATATATAAGAACTATAACATTATATATTGTTAAAAAATGTAGGAAGTGACGAAAAGGTGCAGAATTAAAAGGGTGAATTCATTAATTAAACACCTTAAGGAGAAAAGTCAATTGAATGTGCTGGGAGAAATGGGGTTTGGATCGTTGGTAGGAGTAAGGGATCGACCTATTCAGAGGGAATTATGTCGATCCTTGATGGTGCAATTTGATGTCGAACAATGTATTGCTAACTATGGTGATTTTTCATTTCCTCTGGAGATTCCATGTGATGCAGCCGTCTTAAGGGTAGGAAATGTATGCAAAAGTGTTGTAGAAGTCTCTAAGAGTAAGAACTGGAAATCACTTGCCTCCAAATATGGTTTGAAGCAGAAGGTGACATATGATGAACTTGAATAGGAAATCAAAAGTGGATCTTACGGAGGGATGAACTGAAGGCCAGAGTTCTATTGTACCTTGTCGGGATCTTTCTTTGTCCAACGGGTGATACGTCAACGAACAAGGACTATATGAAGCTCATTTGCGATGTAGGCTTGAAGGGTGAATTCAATTGGGCTGAATCTGTCCATTCGAGATTGATTGAATCAATAATCACCTTTAAAAAGGGCAGCCAGAGATACCGCAAAGGGTGCATAGCAATCTTAGAGGTAAATGAGTTGAAGAACGTTTTTTTATATAAAATGATAGTATAGTTATTATATAAAATTATAAATTTTATTATAAATGCATGTTGCACTGTTTGATTTTTGGTCAGGCTATGAGGCAGTGTCGGCTTAAGAAAGAACCGGAGTGGCACGCATCCGTGCATGGGGAAAGGAAGAAGTGGTTAGAGTGATGGAGAAGTTGAAGTTAGATAGACCGAGGAAGCAAGAAAGGGTAATAAATGTAATTAAATAATATTAAGAATATAATCAATGTCTTAATATTGTAATTTAATTTTGAAGGTTATTGACAAGAAAATTATGTTAATTATAATGCATAATTTGTTTGGATCATAATTTCATATTTTTTAATGCAGATGAAAATATTAGATAATTATAATAAGAAACGCAATTGGGTAGAAGCATGTGGATCTCTAGGAAGCCGCCTCTTGAAAAATTTCAAATTTGTGGAGCATAAGATGAATGAGCAAGTGAATGGGTATTAGATGTTATCATAAATAGAAAGCTTAATTTATACAAGTTTCATAATTGACATATGTTGTATTCAAATTTTGTAACAGATATGATTGTGGCATGTTTGTGATGACGCGGATGGAATCGATCGGTTCTACAGTGGCAACTGGTGATTTTGTAAGTGGAATTAAAAATTCGTTTGCGGTTAAATTGTTAAAAGTCATAGATTGAATGTTGTGGTTTACAATACTTAACGTACTGACTATTTGAATATAGGTTGTTGGACAGTGGGATCGATCGCGAATATTAAACGATCTCATAAGCCACAATCAAAATCAACTAAGAGAGGAGATACCAAAAGCTACCATGAGACACAAGAATAACAAAAGGAAGCGATAATGTAAATGTAGGGTTAATTTTGTATACGATTTATAATTTTGTATGTGAATGTAATTATGTATGAGATGAGAAAAGTTAGCAGTAGGTTGTTGTACATGTTTCTTATACACAGTAAGAGTCATGTTGATACTTACGATATATGGAGATC